CTGATCTTTCCCCTCCCAAGTCCCCGAAACCGGGTCGTGGTGGGTGTGCAGGCTTCTCAGGGAAGAGTCCTGTCTTTCTTCTGCTCCCTCACAGTTCCTCCCAACCTGTTCCTTCCTACTGGCAGCCAGGATTGCAGTCCAGCTGCGATATTGGAAGGCTCCTCTCCCTCCTCTTTACTTTCAGGAAGAGAAGCAACTTCATCCCAGGTCAGGCCTGCGGGGGTCGGGTGTGGGAGGTTGGGGGTGGGGGAAGGGGGACGTGGCCCACAGTACCCTCTGCCGGGTGGTCATTGGTGGCCCCTCCTGGCACCCCTTGCCTCAGCCTTTACCAAAAGAGGAAGAGTTCCCGCCCACATTCCCTCACCAGCCACCTGGACACCCACATCTAGAGAAAGGAGACCTTGAGGTCTGCCGGCAGACCTCAAGGAAGGTGGAGCAGAGCTGGATAGGGCATGCAGGGGACCTGGGGCACCCCCATCGACAGGATCCTGGGGTCCCCTTCCCTCTAGGAACACCTTGTATGGACCTAGTGATTCTCCTCTTGGTTGCCAACCCCCTAGAGTGGGTGCAGTGACCTGGGATGGACTTCTGCCTCTGGGCTAGCCTCTCCCACTTGAAGGCCAGGACTAGGCCAGCTCTGAGGTGCAGGGCATCCAGGGGCAACACCTGTCAATGTGTCCAAGCTGTTGCTCTCAGGCTTGTCCTGACCTGGGCTGGGCTGGCCCTGGGTGGGTGTGGCTCCTCTCTTCCAGGCTCTGACAGCCTAGGCAGGTGCGGGCAAGCCCAGCTCAGTCAGCAGAAAGAGCTGTGTAAAAGGTGGTAGGGAGTGTGGGGGAGGGGAGTGTGGGGGAGCACCACAAGGTTAAGACAGCTGGGGCCATAAAGAGGAAATCTTTGGACACACTGGAACCCCAAAGTTTGTGTCTAACGCTTTGAGCCCCAAGGTTTGCGTCTAATACTTTGTCACTTAAGGCAAAACTTTGGAGTTCTTGGTGTATGAAAACTTTAGTTTTTGTTATTGACAAGGTTTTCCCAACCACACCCCCAAATGATTCAAAACCATGAAACGGGACAAACGCAAGTGCAAGCGGTTATTCCTGCCGAGCTGACTCTGTGAAGTAAGGAAGGTCACTACTGAGCTCGTGAGTCTGTCTTCATTCACAAAAACAGAAGCGAGCAAAACAAAAGACTTTATTTTGAAGTCGCAAGGACACTGGCTTGGCTGACTCACACTGCGACAGATCCCTGGGAGCCAAAATTTAAAGGCCAAAATGTCCACGTGGACAGGACTGCCGCTGCCTGACCAGAGTCACTGAACTATCATCTCGCACTCAGGGCTATCGGCTACAACAGGCCTGTGTCAGCAGTCGGGAACACCCAAACCTGGGAGGCAGAAAAGCTACCTTCTACTCCCGACTGCCTGTAATTTCCTCCGTGTTTTTGCTGAATCACCTCATCTCCCAGGGCTGCTGTTGGCAGTTGGCATCTTTAGAAGAAGGGGTGGGACTTCCTCGAATCCATTTGTGCTTTGAATCACGTGTTCTAAGGAACATCTTCTGATGGTCCCTCATTCAACCACATGACACAAGCAGCCGTTGTATCCTGTCCCAGAGAGCTCAGAGGCTGCTGGAGGGAGGATGGCCACTCCAAAAGGACAAGGAGGGTGTTGGGCATACCACACTGGCCAGGACTTGGGGTATCTGAGACCTCTCATTTGCAACAGGCAATAGTCAAGCCTTTTCAGGAATTCTGTCTATGGCTCGTGGCAGATCTTCCCTTCATGGCCTGTGTGTGTGTGCACGTGTGTACAGACCTGAGTTTACAGATCGCATCCCCCAACCATACAACATGACAGAGGACTGGGACTGTGCTTTCATCAGCTTTCAGAAGTCCCTAAAGATCTGAGGAATCTAATAGACAACACTGCTGACTCTCAGGAAGTGACCTCAATTAGAAAAAGTGGTGGAGATACTGCGACGCCCCCTGGCGGATGTATTTGTTGTTGCTGAGTGTGTTTTTTGGTGGTGGGGCACCCAGTTCCCTTTCCTTTAATGAGAGCACACTAATTTCCCAGCTCACATGTGTGAGAGCAGAAGCCCTGTTCCCAGAATCTCCCTCCCCTTCGCCAGAGTGAGAGGTGGACACATGACCTGAGCCAACCAATCAGAATCCCCTTGGTCCCCGTGCCTGGTTGCCTTAGGTGCTTCGAAGCTTTTGTCCAGGTGTGAGCATCCCTGTAGACTGGGATCAGATGCTTAGAGGCCCTGAGGCTGCCCTGATTTCTCTGTGCTGTTCTCCATTCTCCGGGCTGATATCTGGAGAACATGACTGGTCCAGGGGGGAGAGGGAGGCGGCTTGTTTTGTTCTTCTTGTCCTTGCCCTTATCTGTGTCTGCTGGGTATTGTGGCAGAAGGGAGATGTGACTGGACTGGGGATGCTGGCAGTTTCTTCTGGATTTCTGCTACTTCTTATAGACCAGCAGGACCCTAGAACTGTCCCATTTCCTAAAGAAAGTGACTGTAATTGTTATTGCAATCAACTATTCTTTCAAATGTAGAATAATAATAATAATAATAATAATAAAAACCCGCCTCTTAACTCCTTCAACCTTTATGTTGCCCTTCCTTCTAAAACGGACAATTTCTGGAAATTTGAAAGAAGAAAACAAAGATTTTTCATATGCCCACATTGCCTTAAAATGAAATTGAGAGATGTTCAGATACAAGTATTTTAACTACTCTTCGTAGCTTGTGGGTTCCCATGTTAGCTCTGTAGTCTGTATTTGAAATTTTAAACTCAGGATTATTTCTGTAGAGTTTTTGTTTTATGTATATAGGTGTTTGCCTGCATATTTGTGGACCACATGTGTGTCTGGCACCCACTAAGGCCAGAAAAGGGCGTCAGATCCCCTAGAATTAGGTTTCAGGTGTTTCCAGCTGCCGTGTGTGGCTGGGAATCAAACCTGGATCCTCTGGAAGAGCAGTCAGTGCTCTTAACCACTGGGATTTTTCTCCAGCCCTTCTTGCTTATCTTTAACTTTGTAATTTTAAAACTAGAAAAACATGCTCACCCAGTGACAATTTCAAATAATGCAAAAGTTAATTTTTTTAAAAATAAAGATTTACTAGGTCCTATCTCGGGGGAACAGCATGAGAGTTTGTCGTTAAACACAGATGTAGCAATTTATCTTTTACCTTTCAGCGAACATGAAGTGCTGTTTTCTCATTGTCTTGCAGCAAGTAGATGTCTTTTCCCTTAGTTGGCACTGACATTCACAATGTCACTTCCCCCACATGCAAACAGATATAATTTTTAAATTTTATTTTATTATTATTTATTATTATTAGTGTATGTGTACGTAAATGCCAGGGCACACATGTGGAGGTCAGAGGATAATCTCTCTCCTTCCATTATGGGATCTGGTGCTCCAGTTAGGGTTGTCAGGTTTGTGTGGCTAGCACTTTTACCCACTGAGCCATCTTGCTGGCCAACTGCATCCTTCTTAAGGATCCAGGTCCTTGGTTGCGTTAGGAAGCACCAACTTATATTAGTCAATCCTCTATTTGTGAACCTTATTATAGCTTCCATTTTTTTTTCTGATCACAAGCAATACTAATATATCAGGAGGGTGCACATTAGATTCTGACAGGTCTAGAACTCTTTTTGTAGCCTAGGCTAGAGCCTCCAACTAACAGTAATCCCCCTGCTTTAGTCTTCCGAGTGATGGAATCACAGGTATGAGCCATCACAGATGTGCGTCTGCCTGTGTTTCAGATCCTATGCGCACCATTTGTAACTGTTTCCTCACAATGCTGTGTTGAAGGACCAAGAGGAAATGCAGAGTTCTCCAAAAGGAACTGCCTACTTAATTAAAGGGGAAATGCTTCCTGTTGGTCCCTGGGTGACGTTGGTGTTTTGATTCCATGATATGGGGACTGAAGGTGCAACCTGAGACCTTTGCACAGGCAGTGGCTGGGACTCATGGCTTTAGACAATTAGCTTGGTGAGTGGGTATGTAAGGAAGAGCAATAAACGATGTAGACCAACCAAGAAGAAAGCAGATGTTCATTGAGCTCTCCAATCGAGTCCCTGAGCCAGGAACTGTGTACGCTAAATCCCCACAATCCTGGGAGGCAGGTGAAATTGTCTCCATTTTATAGATGATGACACAGGTTCAGTTGGTTAAACAGCAGGCCAAAGTCACTCAACCAGTGGGTTGTGGAGCTGAGATGTGACCTCAAGAAGGAAAATTCGGAGCTTAGGGTGTTAGCCAAATTTTAGGGAAAGGTTAAGAACGGATATTCAAAAACAATATGTACACCTTAGTGCCATCTTGGACGTCAGGTGGTTAGAATCAACTCCCAGTTCCCTCCTGTCCGCACGTGTGGATCTAGGAACAGGTGTTGGCCATTGTGGGGTGAGGTACCCACAATGGAACAACTGCTTCAAAGGTTTGAGACCAGCCTTCCCGGGATTTTAGTGGACGCCATGGAGAGGAGGTGTCAGGATAGAGTGATGGATGAGCTAAGATTGGTACTTGGGCACTTCACAGGTGGACAGAAGAAAAATGGCCAGTGATGGAGGCAGGGGGCTCAGCAAGAGCTATCCAGAGAACCAGCGGGTGGGAGTCTTGAAAGCCCAAGTCTCCTTTACAGCCAGTGCTACTGTTTCTAGTCATGGGAGGGGCATGCAGGGGCAAGGGAGAGCGGAAGGCTGGTACCCACAGGGCTGAGTACTCCACCATTCATCCTCACCCTTTTTGCCCTTTAGGACAAAACCAGATGCGAGTCAGTAAAGGGTGTGCGTTCCAGCTGTGGCCACGCCTGCCAGGGCTGAGACCCACAGCTGCAAACCTGGAGCAGGGGCGGGAGAGGGGGTGAGACTTGGCGCCGAGCCAAGAAGGTCTGGCTTCTGGGGAGCAGCGGTGACTACAGTAGGCTTCCATGAGCCCCACCCCTCAGTCCTTCTTTGCCCTCCCCCTCAGCAACGGAAAGCAGTGAGAAACGTGTTTTTATAAATAGCTCCAGCCCCAGCTGATTTGTAAATTCAGTGGGTTTTTTTGTGTCAATGACATCACCCTCCTCCCCATGGCAACCCCCGACGATATCAAAATTGCCAGGCAACGTTGGAGCTGCTCGCACCCTAAAGGAGCAGGTCGCTGCCTGAGGATCTAATGGAGAAATCCCAAAGTGAGCTGGGGTGCACGGTGGAGGAGGGGCGCGCCGCGGCCGGGGCTACGGGGCCCTGATCAATCGGCCAGAGGAAGGCGGGAGAGGCTGCTGCTTGCTCCACAGCCTGGACACGCTGGAGGCTCCACGCCAGCCCCTCCTGAAAGCAGCGGCGGACCACAGCAGGTGGGGGGAGGGCACTGCTCGGTTCCTGACGTACCGGGAGCAGCAAGCAGCCATCCAGGTGACTAAGCCGGCCCACCGTCACTGAGTCACCCACCCGCCTTGGCTTTTCTTCCTTCCCCCTTTGCATCTGATTATTTGGGGAGCTGAAAACTTGGAGGTGTACCTGAGGCCCGCCCCTTCTAACTCTCCCCTCCCTGCCTCGGCTTGGAGGAAGATGGAACTCGCTGGGAAGCTGCCACTACCCCCTAAGGACATGGAAGGCACGGAGGGAGCCAGAGGTGCCCAGGGAGAGACCGCAGCTGGCAGAGTACAATAGCAGACATGGTGATCAGGCTGCCCCTGTGTCCTCTGAAGGTGCTAGAAGAGAAGGGGAGTCTGGTCCAAACCGACTGGAGTCCTCCTGTGTTGGCTTTGAGCTCACCTCTCAAGGGGATCTTCCTGTAAGCGGGTGGCTTCCAGGGCCATTGGTATTTGGAAAGCAAGGCTGGATTGGCATAGGCAGGCCTGTGCAGGTAGGTGGCTCTGTACTGGGTGTGGACCCACGTGTGTGAGAGGGTGAGGGTGTGTCAGAATGTGTGTGCCCAGCCAGATCTGAGGACAGCGGCTGGTCAGCTGAGAGCTGGGGAAGGGAGGGTTGATGGCAATTGATCCTGCCTGATGCTGGGCGGGTCTAGTCTTGAATGCTTGCTGGGGAGAAGGGACAGCAAACACATGGCCTGAGCCCACTAAAGGACAGCTGCCTGCTCAGGCAAATCCTTTCTGGGTCCACAGGACAGAGCCATGGCCAGATGCAAGGTAGGAAGTGGTCCGGAGGCCTGGCCGAGCGTGGGAACTAAACTCAGAAGGCTTGGGATTGCAGGCCCATGGCTCCATCTCCTGACATCCCTTGGCACTCAGGGAATATCTTCCTAGCAAGCTCTTGTCACTCCCCCGTGCATAGCTGGTCGGGCACCTATGTATGCCCCCTGCTAAGCTCATAAACACATTTATCGAGCAGGCTACTATCCGGGTCTCAGCTGGAGGCCACTCTGAAGTCCTGGGGTCCTCTTCCAGGCATGCCCCAGTGTGTGTCAGGCAGAGGGGTGTGGGCCCCCCGCCTCCCCCACACAACTGGCAGGCTTTCAGGCACACCGGTGAGTAAGCTGCCGCAGGGAGGGAGGTTGTGCCCACAGAGACAAGATGACACCAACCGGGAACCTTCCGGAGAAAAGAGGCTGACAGAGACAATCACTGAGGGTTTTTTTTTTTTTTTTTTTTTTTTTTTTTTTTTTTTGCCTAAAGGTAGAGCAGCTTTCGGGGCTTCAGACAATCACCAGCCTGCGGTGGGAGAGACTGAGGCCCAGTTGCCCGGAAGGAGTGCTGAGGTAAGGTCCCCACTGTGGCAGCAGGCTCTGGATGCTTGAGCTGGGGACAGGGGGTCCATATATTGAGGTTGCTCCTCACCTAGGACAGAGAAGCTAACTCCATGTTCACAAGAAAGCTGTGAGGTCCTGGACTAAAGATTCCCAAGGCGGCTTGCCCGCCTCCCTCCACTCTTCAGGTAGATTTTGAAACAGCTCTGTGGAAACTGGCTTCAGTCTCTGGGCTTGTTTCTGCAGTCCCTGAATTTGCTTCCTGTTTTCTCTGGACCAAGCCAGGGGCCACCAGGACTCCTTCCAAGAAGCCCTTCTCACTGCCCCTCATGTAGTCACTCCGCAAATATTTATGGTGCGTCCTCTGCCTACTGGATTCCTGCTCCCTATTGGTGCCCTTTCCCTGAACTCAACCTGGCAGATTGACTCTGAAAGTCAGCAGAAGGCCAGGGCTAGGGGCCTGCCTGGGGGGATGCGAGTGCTCCCCGTAGTCTTATCGGGGCTCCCAGCCTCTGCTCAGGGTTCCTGGCTGGTCGGCTCCACCAGGCCCCAGGACCTCAGGCTCCTAAGACCCAAGCAGCAAGGCTAAGGCAGCACAGCCTCTGGTGTGGAATGCCAAGGTCAGAGAATCCTGCGTTTCTGCTGGGGTTGGGGGTGGAGGTCTTGCCCTAAATTGGTTCTGTTGGAAACTGAGTTCCCAGGGTGGGCTTGGGAGCTCATCTAGTTAAGACTGAGGATTAGCCTTTGGGCCAAGAAGAGTCCCCCTTTGTGGGCAGATACACCCACATTTTTTTTTTTTCTGGTGGTGAAGTCCAAGAACTCTAATGACAAGGGCACCAGGGGAGTTGGCACCAAGAGCAAGCCCTACTAGAAGTATTGGATATGGGTGGAAACTCTTGAGCCCCTGCAGGGCATAGAGGAACTGCATAACCTTTCTGGTGACCCCTCCCCCCACATGCACGCTGAGTGCATTTGGGATTTGCCAAGCACAGGGAAGGCACAGGCCAGTGGGGTCCCAGGGTGCTCTGTACCATTCCTCAGGATGACCAACACTGTCTCCTGTCCTGGGAGAGCACACAGGACCTCAGTCAGGAGGAGACTGTAGTGTGTTCTACACCCGGTTCCAGGATGAGGAAAATGAGCTGGTGCTGGAAGTGCTTCTCGTCCTCCCAAAAGGCGACTCTTAACCGTGGGGTCCTCCCAGTCTGCAGAGCTGAGCAGAAGCCAGTGCCCAGCTGGGGGCAGACTGGCAGATGCTGGCAAAAGTACCCAAGCAAGCAGTGGACCCTCAGGGAGGCAGCTGGCTTGGCCAGAAGTAAACCTCCGGTAGAAGCCAGGCCATGGGCAGACAGGAAGGCTGCTGGGGGCTTCAGAGGGTTCAGTAAAGGCTCTGGGCTGGCTTCTGGTCATACCTGTCTCTACGGGAGTTTCTCTGCCCAGAGGACCAGCAAAGCCAGTGAAGAGATAGGCCAAGATCCTAGAAAATGGTACCCCTTACCCATGTGACCCAGAGGGTCCTCCAATGAACTGAGTCTCCCTTGCAGAGGCGGAAAGGGTTCCCGGGAGACCTGTGGCTGGAAGCAGAGGGCTCTTCCTAGCCGCTGCCACCCAGACTCTCAGGGGAAAGACCCAGCAGTAGAGCCTGTGGTCAGATCTGGGCAGTACTAAGGTCCTGCAAACCTTATTATCAAGCATTTTGTAGATAGCCTTGAAAAAGAGCTCATTTCTGTGAGTCTTCTGGCAGAAATGAACTAGCTGGCAGCTCGGGGGCAGAGCGGAGGAAATGGAGAACTCCTTAGCTCAAGTTGGCCTTCCTGTGTGCGGAAGCAATGTACATGACCTGGGAGGAACCCTTCCTCTGCTCCCCCTCACTCCACTTCTATCATAACTTAGACTCGGGGTACAGGAAGGGATAAGCAGAGAATTAGTACCAACGAGGTAAAGGAGACCTTGTCTTTTCTGCTGCTTTGTCTGTTACTACAGTATAATACATCCAGCTAAGTAACTGGCACATGATGGAACTTTATTGGAACTACAGTTCTGGAGACTGGGAAGTCCACGGTCAAAGGGGTGACATTTAGCAAAAGCCTTGTGTGGAATGTGTCATCGCATGGCAGAAGGCAGAAGAGCTACACGCACTACTATAGTAAACCATGATGAGGGGATTAATCCACACGTGGGGCTGGCACCCTGGTGACCCAAACACCTCTCAACCCTGCTGCATTGGGGATTGCCAGCAGACTGCGGCCTCTGGCAGGTTGTGAGGTACAAGTGAGCTTGTCCCTGCTCACTGGCTTGTATCTAGTGATCGCCTGGCTACTAAGTACCAATTCCAGATGGCTGGAAGAGGGAGTGGAAAAGAGAGAAACAGGGCCTGGGGAAGTCTGCAGGCACTAGAAGGATAAAGAGGGAAGCTTGGGGTCAAGGCCACCAGAAACCAGCTGAGCCGCAGAACTAGGTTACAACTGGGTGGTTTTGTCCTCTGCTGGGCCCCGGCCTCACCCCTGCAGTTGTCACCCATGGGTCACCCATTCCAAATACTTTATGAATTCGAGCCACTCCTGAACTAGAACTTCATAAAGTACCCCCTCACTGCCCCCCCCAAAAGCCCTATGTTTTGAGTGAGCACTGTCGGAGGAGGCAACCCTTACCTCTAGGTCCAAGGAAAGAGTGCTCAGGAATAAGTCAGTCAGATCTCGCATGGTATCACCGCGCAACGAGGAGCACGTACCAGGCCTGCGTTGCTGCTTCTGGTAACTTGGATGAATTATTTCTTTTCTTCTTTTTTTTGTGGTCCTAGTTTTAAAGATTTATTTATTTATTATGTATACAATGTCCTGTCTTCATATATGTCTGCAGGCCAGAAGAGGGCACAGATGGTTGTGAGCCACCATGTGGGTACTGGGAATTGAGCTCAGGACCTCTGGAAGAGCAGTCAGTGCTCTTAACCTCTGAGCCACCTCTCCAGCCCTGGATGAATTATTTCATGCTTCTTCTCCATTTCAGCTTCCTCTCCTAACCGCAGAGATAATTAGCACCTGTGGGCTAGGGCTGTTGAGTGGGTAACCATGATGCTTTCTGCCGAGACCATCAAAGGGGCAAGATGCTGGCAGGAAGAGACCCACCTTATTTAGGGGACTCAAGAGAGGCTTGCTGGGTGGCTGTGGAAGACCCTCCCCTGGAGAAGCCGAGGCATCACAATGCGGATGGATCCAGGGCCAAGCGAGCTAGGGAAAATAGCAACACCAGATCCATTTGCCCCGTAGAGCTAATTGTGTGCTCAGTCCCTTTAAGGATCCCCAGGCTACTGGTAACAGTCTCCTCTGAGGTACAGTGTTGAGGGTCCTGAGGATTTGGAGTGGGTTGCGCCCATGGAAGGGATGGGGAGGCGAAGTGGCCAAGTACCACTCCTCTCTGGGCCTGACATCTTTTCTCACAGTGGTGGCTGCTGTTTTTTGAAGAGCTGTGTACTCACTAGCCCCACCTGAAGCACAAAGCTTGAAGCAGGCAGAGAGGACCTCTCTGACGAGTGGCTTGGGGACGCTCAACCCCAAATAAATTTTTCCTACCAAATGATAATTCGTCGTAGTAATTTAGAAAACGTAGTGCCCTCTCTGATTTCACCTAGAAACAAAGGCAAACCCAGAACATGATAGGCTTTTGTAGGCTGGGAGGAATCATGTAAGTCCCCTCTCCGGACAAGAGGCCACAGGACCTCAGTCCTAGCAAAGGAACTCTCATATTGGTCAGTAACGTCTACAAGGGCTCATTATGGCATTATTGCAGTGCAGAGACCCAAGTATTTACAGAGGGCTGCTGATGACCATTTTTGGATAGTTGGGACTTTTCTGGGGGCATGGATTTCTGCTAAAGTCCTATTTAATCAGCAAATCAGACATTGGTGTCCTGGGATGCTCTGTCTGTATCCTAGGGCCCCTGACCTCTGGCTAAGGAGGAAGCATCGTGGCTGGGTCTTCCCTCCTGACGTCAGGCTGCCCAGAGCTTGGAAAGGGTTCACTGAGCGCTCAGAAGAGGAAGAGCAGAAACCTCAAGTCAGCTATGCATTGCTCTGGCCTCTGATCAGCGCAGCAGGAGCCCAGCCCACTCTCCCCTAGGGCAAATAGCAGCAAACCGGTCACCTTGCTCAAGGCTGCCTGCACAAGGCTCCCTGCACGCGGCACAGGGACTCCCAAAAATTAAGGCAACAGCAGAGTTAAAACCAGGAGGACTGGTTCTGGAGTTTGGTTTCCTGGCCCAGAGCATCTCCAGCTCCATTTGCTCTCTTTCAGCTTCAAATGAGGCATCATTTGAAACTGTGAAAGAAAGTACTGAGGTAAAAGGAGCTAGGGGGCCAGTTATACCACAGCCACATGGCCAGAGTACGCATTGCCCAGGGGAGGAAGGGACCACCCATAAAGGAGTTGGCCCTCTTCAATGCTGCAGCACCTTCAAGACAAAGGAGGTTCTCGGACAGGGCTCAATCCAACTCTCACTGATGTATAGGTGAAAGCAGGCTCAGAGAGAAAAAGTGGGTCCTGAGGTCGCCCAGCTAACTAGAAACCCCACCTCCCTTGACCAGCAGCAGGCAAGAATGGACCGTAGCTTGGTATTTCGAGAGAGGTGGTTCAACTTGACAGTGTGAGACTGGACAGGTCCCTATGCCTCCTCTGGGCATGAGGTTCTCACAGGGGCCTGTGCTCCGCCATCTGCATTCTGCTCGGCATGGAGCCTCAGTCTGGCCTGTGCTTATGAACCAAGTCTTCCCCCAAGGACAGACATCATTCCTGGCACTAGGCCACTGACCAATAAACAGATCTAACTAATCTGTAAATGGATTGGCTCAAGTTCTGTGTGTCCCAGGTAGTGTCACAGGCTGAGAATGCCTCGGGCCACGAAGTGGGCAGCGATGAGTGGATCTGGAGGCCAGAGAGTTTGGGCAGAGGGAAGAGGAGGCATATGGAGAGAGGTATCTTAGATCACCTTTTTACCAATATGTATTTTCCTTTCCAGCAAGGAGTGTGTGTGTGTGTATGTGTGTGTGTGTGTACACGTGTGCATGGGTGTTATATGTTGGTGTGCTCAGCAGTATGGCCCCATGAGTAGGCCAGAGGTTGATATTAGTGTCTTTCTCAATTACTTCTCTACTTTATTTTTATTGAGATTTAGTTTTACATGTATGTGTCTGTGTATGCGGATGCCATGTGTGTGTACATGTCAATGGAGGCCAGAAGAGAGGGGTGGAGCCTCTGTAGCTGGACTTACAGGCAGTTCTGAACCACCTGATGTGGGTGCTGGGAACTGAACTTGGGTCTTCTGGCATGCTGAAAGGATTCTTAACTGGTAAGTCATCTTTCCAGCCCCTTCCACCTTTTGATTGATTGATTGATTGATTGAGACATGGTATCTCACTGAGCCTGGAGCTCATTATTTATTATTTCAGCTGTAGTACCTAGCCAGGGAGCCCTGGCGGTCTGTCTCCTGTTTACCCCAAGAGCTGGAGATATACTCTGTGCTTGCCGAAGCTGGCTTTTTGATGTGGGTTCTGGTGGGGGAGAGGGTATGGATTCAGGTTCTCATACTTGCACGGCATGGACTTTGCCTACTGAGCCATTTCTTTAGACCTGAGGAAGGAATGTAAGCGTGTAGCTGTCACCGTTAGAGATCAATTCCCAGGAGGAGGAGGGTGGTCCTATATCAGCAGATCCGAGACAGGCAAGAAGACTTTAGGGAAGAACTTCTTGGAAGAAAATGTCCAATGTCCAGAGAGGAGGGGTGAGGCAGAAACGTTAGCCCTTGTGAGAGATGCAGCCAGACTCACAGAAGTGGAGCTGGAAAAGCAGATATTTGGAACTCTATGGAAGCATGTAAGAGCAATGTGGGGGTCACCTCCTAACCATCCACCAGCTAAACAAGCCCCAGGAATGGGTGTGGCAATGGTGTGATCAGGACCCACCCTGTCAGTGGTCACAGTAATATTCCAGTGAGAAAATAGGAGCTTTGCCCACTGGAAAAGGAAAAACCCAGAGAACAGGTAAGCACAGACCAGCCAAGAGGCAGTCAAACAAGCCATGTCTTCAAATATCAACCCAGTGGCCAGAGTGCCCTAGAACCCACAGCGCAGACCCTGTGGCGTTCATGCAATTACATCTACGTATGGTTTTCTCTTCAAATAGTTGGGGTGATACTTGACTTGGGGGGGCAACATCATACTCCCTCAGAAGCTTTGGTCCTTATCTGGTCAGGCACAGGTCTCCCCACCCCCACACCATTGCCATCTGTCCCTCCCTGAAAGTCAGACCCAAGGATGCCACAGCCGTAACCCTGCCCCAACCTCAGACCTGGGGCAGCAGTTGTGGGCCAGCGGAGAGAAAGAGGATAGTGAAGGGGTTCTATTCAAGGGGGCTTCCAGCTGTTAGTTCAGCCAGTAGCAGTGGCAGCCAGAGAGCTGAAGTGACAACAAGAGGCATTGGATGGAACTTTGGGGGCCATTAAAAGCGGAGCCCGCAAAGCAATTGTGGCAAAAAGATATTAAATGAATCCATCATGTCTCTCCAGCGAGAGTCCTTGCTGTAGAGACAGCCTTGCTCCCAATCCTTCCCAGGCTGGCTCAGCTATCGTCCATGTACCCGGGAAGAGTGCCATGGTCTGCAGAGAGGCCTGTGCTCCCGAAAGGCTCATCTCGGGACATCAGACCCCCTTGGGAATGTCTGGCTAGCTGAACCCCCCCATGCCAGTTTTTATTTGGGAGACAGTCTGGAAAGGGTCAGAATTTGAGAAAAAGTAGCCAGAAAGAGACTGTTGTGGATGAGGCTGTCTCCTTCAGCCACTATACAACTGAGCTCTTATTCCATCATCAAACAGGTGAGTGGTCCCATCAGGTGGTCACCTATGGACTTTCCCAACCCCAACTAGACCCTAGGTAGGGCCAGGGTTCTTTTTCTGGGCTATGATGTAGATAGATCTGTTGAATCGTTTGAGTATCAGCAGGCAGTAACTTTATCTTCTGGAAGAATCCTGGGATTCTGCTCTGCAGCAAACCACAGTGGATTTGACTGCTCTTTATGGAATGTGTATGGATACACCGTGTGTGTGTGTGTGTGTGTGGTGTGTGTGGTGTGTGCGTGTATGTGAGTATGTGGTATGTGTGCATGTGTGTGAGTGAGTGTGTGGTGTGTGTGTGTGGTGTGTTTAGCCTCCTTGCCTCTTTATCAACTGTGTTTACTCTGTTTGGAGGTGCTGATCCTAAGGACCCCTTTACCCTAACACTTATTATGTCACCTTCCCAAGGGAAGAGAGCAAAGTTTCCCCATTATCCACATCAAAAAACCAAAACTGAGGTCACGATGAACATCTAGAAAGTCCAAGGGGCTCCAGTCCTGCGGGAATCCATGGTGTCTACAGCTAAACTCTGCCTGCCTCCTCCTGCAGGGCGGCCCAAGGTCCTGCTCCAGCTCAGGCTGCCAGGCCCTTGGAGGTATGCCCTGGGCTCTTGCCCCATCAGCAAACAGAGTAATTGGCTGCCATGGAAAGGCATTAGCCAGGACCAATCCCAGAGCAGAAAGAGACAGGTGTGGAACATCCTAGAAGCAGGAGAGAAAGCAGAAATCCTCCAAAGAGTGCCTGCTCCTGGGGCAGGGAGTTTCGGGGAGCTCCCCCCCAGCCCTGCTGCCTGGAGTGTGCAGATGTGTTGGCTGCCTGCCTCCCCAGCAGTCTCTGAATGTGGGACTCAGGTTGTCAGGCCCATTTCGGTCTGTGATGGACACAGTTTGAGGAGGATCTGCAGGCAGGGTGCTGACTCATGACCAGTGAAACCTAGTACTTGGTTCCTCACAGGGGATTCTGTGAGCCCCTTAACCTTGCACACGGTAGTTCTCACGCCCTACTCAGATTTGGGGTGGAAAGATCCCAGGTACCAGACTCACCCTTCCTGCAGAGTGGTGTAAGTTGGCCTCTTCCCACTGCCAACAGTTCAGACTGCCCTTGGCCTCAGGGACTTCTGAACCGCAGGTTAAGAGAACTCACTTGGAGTCATATGAGTGTGACTCCTCCACTCAGTAACCGGCTTAGGCCACCAGCTGCTGTGCAGGACACTACGGCCATGCGCCTTCTATGCAATGCTGATTCTCATGGTTCTGGAAACTCAGAGGTTAGAATGCTGGGAAATTTGGTGTTCAGTGAAGGTCCTGGTTTATGAGTGGTTGTCTTTTCACAATACCATCTAGAGACTGGGGCCTACTCTGCGGCTGTTGTGTAGAACACTCATCCCATTCATGAGGTTTATGGTTTTTTGTTTGTTTTGTTTTGTTTGTTTTTAGAGTAAAAAGCCCATGCTCTGGCACCTCCACCAAGCTAAGCTCAGTCGCCTCGCTGATAATGCCAATTAAAGAAAATAGTGGGGATTGGGAGTGGGGCAAAAATATTTATTCAATATGGTCACATAGGGAAGAGGAAAGAAGGGATTCAGTGACACCCCCTTATCACCTACCCCTCCCCCCTCACGCCCCGCTTGGCAAGTCCGTCTTCAGGTTAGCTTTAAACAGAGGACAGGAAGTCTGTATAACTCCCTAGTCCTAGGCAAGGTGTGGTTCTGCCATTAGGTGCCCATCTTTGTCTCAGCCATATCCTGCGAGGTGGGTGGATAGGCTGTCAGAAGTCTGTGAAGTCCCTTCCTGGGAGGCAAGTTCTGGCTGGCACCGGAGCGTCAGTTATCCCTTCCTTAGAAAGGAATCCAAGCAGAAAATCGCGATTCTTTGCGGTTCGCTATCTCATAGATTGACTGCACACCTCGAAGGGAGGGGCACAAGTGTTTCTCTGAGGAATATTTCCCTGCTAACCCGGAGAGATATTTTGTCCTTGGTGGGTGCTTGTTTGTTTCTGGAGACAGTTTCTCTGTGTAGCCCTGGCTGCCCCAGAACTCGCTCTGTAGACAGGCTGGCCTGGAACTCACAGAGATCCTCCTGCCTCTCCTGAGGGCAGGCTGGAGTTAACTATCATGGTAGTTACAACGGGCCTTAAGGTGCTAATCACCTCTGACACCTTGTCTCCTAATAACCTTCTCATATTGGTGATTAGATCTCAACATAGGGATGGGTAAGCACGTGCGTGGGTGTGGAGGACCCATGCATTTGCTTTATAGCAGGAATTGGTCCTCTCTTAGCAATCCTGTGCCCCAGTTTGAATCACCTGTAGAGTAACATTAATACTATGTTAATAACTTCCACCAGGGTTGTTGTGCAGAGTGAGGCTGGCAGCGTAAGCTAAGAGCTTATACCTCAGGGCTCCACCCACAGGAAGCGTTCAGAAACTGGAGGTGTGATCCCTCCTGATAGGGGAGAAGCGGCATCCACAGATAGGAAACTATAGCGAGCAAGGGAGCTTGTTAGCAAGCTCCTGGTTCCCAGGAAGCTTTTCAAGTCCCGAAGAGAAAGGTGCAGAGACGGATAATGTGTTTGTATTTCTAAACCACAAGTTGATCTATATCTCTTCTCTTTGGCCCTAACCTGGGCTCCCAGCCCTGGCGGTGCCAGTCAGATGTTACAACAGGCCTGACAGCCACTGGCTGAGGGAGAATTGGGAAGTGCTCACTCCACCCTATGTGCCACCCCGAGGCCCTTGAAGACTGCGCTGGCTGGCTGGCTGGCTGGCTGGCCAATACTCCAAGAGCCTTTCTTGTTTTTTCTCCAATGCCTATTGTGTGGATGGCAGTACATGAACTCCCTTGGCAACAGACCTATGCCAGAGACCAAGTCTCCTCAGGGGAGCATAATGCCTGGCGTCCCATACCCTTGGCACCGCAGCAGAGGAAACAGGACTAGGGTGAGGTGTGTGCACACTGGAGGCAACGTTGTCCTTCAGACTGTTGCTAGGACTTCCCTGCTCTCTCCTCTGAGGCATGGATCAGTGTAGCCTGGAGAAGAGGGAAAGGCACAAGCAGGAGTCAGCCACTCAGTCCATCCTGTATGTCCCAGCCATCCCGACCCACAGGGCATCCTCCAACCCAGTGAGCTGAATCTTGAGTAGAAGCAGCGGAAAATCTAGAAATAGGATTTGATATGATGAACAGTCCCCTAGTGTAGCCATGTACGGGGGATGGAAAGTTTTCTCTAGGAAAGCTTACTGAGAATCTGGTTTGGTTAGCTTCATCGACAAAGGAGTCATTACCTGCTTGGTCCATCTTGTTTGGGAGGCCCTGCCTTTCTTGAGGCCTCAGGCCCCAGTTCAGCTTCCACGGGTGGAAGAGATACCCAGTGTTTTCTAAATCTATTCCCTGTAAGAAAAGGATGAAACTTGGTTAATATCTACGGAGATGTGTCAACCTTGGTTCAAACAAAGTTAGGTACCAGTTGATTTCTGGTAATATTCTAATGTTCATATTTTATTGTGGTTTAACAATTCAAATTAATGCTTAGAGCTATGGTTTGGGCATAAAAACGTATTTTATTAAAAGACGGTAATTCACATGTACACTTGTGGCTCAGTAAAAAGTAGTTTAGGGTGTTGATTCTAGATTCAATGCTACATTTCCTTCCAACTTTGGTTTGCAGTTCATTTCAAATCCACAGCAACCAATCTTCTCCCTCTCTCTAGACAGCACAACCTCCTTCTTATAGACAATATCAGGCAAGTACCTAGGCCCTGGGGTGACTGATCTATGGGGAAGCCATATTTGTGCCTCTTCAAGGAACTCGGGCAACTTCCTGGCTGGCCAAGAGGGCAGGACTTTGCTTATAATGTCCAGAGGAAAGAGAATCACTTAGGAAAGACTCAGACAGGAGAAAGGGGAGACAGAGCAAGGAGCGTACAGACATGAAATGTACATATGTGTGGATCTGGGACAACCCATGATCAGCTGCCGAAGCTTCCACGCCACCCTTCCACAGCACACAAGGTTGGCACCATTGCCTTCTCCAGTAGAATTAGGGTATGGAGATCTGAGGTGCGACCACACAAAGCGCAGAGTTGTCGAGTTCCCATGGATCACCTTTATGCAGGTTGGCGGGAGCCCTAGAGTAAACTCCAGGGGAGCAACCGAGCCCACACTGCAGGCGACATCCAGAAACAGCACCCACACGGCTAAAGAATTAGTGAACAAAAATGTGTGGCGAACATGATGTCAATGAAAAACCAAATTTAAGATATCCAGCAACGGCGGCAAAAGAAACAGTCCTGTACTGCTTGGTGTCTTGTGTCCCTCGTCTGTGGCAGGCACCAGCAGTCACCTAGCCCGTATATGAAGCAGCCATTTGGGTTCCAGATGTCAGCATTTCTAAGCTAGAATCCCCTCGGCCCTCAGCGAGTAAAGTTCTCTCCAAGGGCCCAAGAGAAGGACAGCAAAGGTCTTTCTTTTCCTTGTTTGGGGAGGAGACAGACAGGTGGCCACTGCCTCTCCTTCAAACCAGGTAGAGGGATCGGTCCCGCTGGGACTTCATCGTCCAGTTTCTGGGTGCCACGTTGCTGGAAGCTATCTCTCCCCCCTCAAAATCCTTTTTCTGTGATCTTAAAACCACAGAAAGTTCTCAGGAGTAAGTCAGGGTGACAAGGAAATCGGAATTCCTTTATAGCCTGCTCTCCTGCCTGCACAAGGACCCGGGAAGTCGCAGGGCGGGGGAACTTGTCCAGACTTGGCAAGCAAGTCAAGATGCCCGGTTTCAGGACTCCGGATCGGGCCCTGAGAGATGTGCGAATGGACGCAGGTTTTGCAGAGTGGGCTCAGGGTCCCAAAGTAGGCGTCTGCGAGCAAAGGAGCGAGTTGATTGCACAACAGCCGCTCAGTAGATAATTCAGGCCCTGGCTTTGGTGCCGCGGGGAGGTCGCGGCAGGCAGGCCGTGGTCTGGAGGGAGGAGGTGGGCACGCTGTCGGTCCTTAGGCCGATCCCGGAGTCCCTGCGCCCCCAGCGATCTCTCCGGAGCTCCCGCGCTCTGGGCGTCCCACCTGAAGCCACACCCTGCAGTCCAACTCCGCGCCAGGTGAAGCGGGCGCCGCACCGACGTGCCCCTCCTTGCCGTGCCCGCGCCGAGGTCCCTCCCGCGGAGGGCGGGCCCG